ACTAAAAGCTGTTGTTGTTGTTTTTTTTAATGTTTACTTATTTTTGAGACAGAGGGCAACATAGCACGAGTGGGGGGAGGGGCAGAGAGAGAGGGAGACACAGAATCTGAAACCCGCTGCAGGCTCTGAGCTGTCAGCACAGAGCCCAATGCAGGGCTCGAACCCATGAACCTTGAGATCATGACCTGAGCCAAAGTCGGACGCTTAACCGACTAAGCCACCCAGGCGCCCCTAAAAGCTGTTCTTGAGAAATAAACCTGAGAGGTGCCTGGCTGGCTCATTCAGCTAAGCATCCAACTTTGGCTCAGGTCATGATCTCACAGTTTGTGGGTTTGAGCCCCACAGAGCTGCATCAGGCTTTCCACTGTCAGCAGAAGCCTGCTTCAGATCATCTGTCTCCCTCACTCTCTGCCCCTCCCCCACTCAAACGTGCTCTCTCTCAAAAATAAACATTAAAAAAATTAAAAAAAAAAATTTTTTTTTAACGTTTATTTATTTTTGAGACAGAGAGAGACAGAGCATGAACGGGGGAGGGGCAGAGAGAGAGGGAGACAGAATCGGAAGCAGGCTCCAGGCTCTGAGCCATCAGCCCAGAGCCCGACGCGGGGCTCGAACTCACGGACCGCGAGATGGTGACCCGGGCTGAAGTCGGACGCTTAACCGACTGAGCCACCCGGGCGCCCCTAAAAAAAATTTTTTTTAAAGAAACCTGAAAGTGATGTTTGAAAAGCTTTGATGCATACTCTATATTACTCACATTTTAAGTTCGAGTTTTAGCAAATGTGTACAATCTTGTAACCCTCTTTAGATATATACTTAAGATCTAGAATATTAAAAATGATTTGTAGGGGTGCCTGGGTGGCTCAGTCGGTTAAGCGTCCGACTTCAGCTCAGGTCATGATCTCACCGTTTGCGAGTTCAAGCCCTGTGTTGGGCTCTGTGTTGACAGCTCAGAGCCTGGAGCCTGCTTCAGATTCTGTGTCTCCCTCTCCCTCGCCTCATCCCTCCCACCCCCTACTTGTGCTCTCTCTCTCTCTCAAAAAAAAATAAATAAAATGTAAAAAATAAATTGTTTAAAAATAATTTTTAAGTCACAGTAACACATTACTATAGTCAGGCATGCCTGGAACTTGGAAATATCTTTAAAACTTGAGGCTCTTTTCCCAAGTCACATTAAGGAACATGATGGTTCAGAAATCAAAGCACCAAGAGAACAGGGAGTTGCTAAAATCCAAAAAGATAAAGATACAGTCCTAAATTAACTTACGGCCAAAGAAACTGTAACCTAATGAGTTATATTAACTTACAAAAAGACTGTGTCAAGTACTAGGGAAAAAGCAACCAAAAGAACAAGAATTTATCATCAAGGGCCTAGAAAGAGGGAGGATTTTGAATATTGCAGTCCACGTGGCAATTTTTTCCTAACTAGAATATGTAAACTAGGTTATCAATCAGGATCTCTAAGCTGCAAGCAACAGAAACCTATTCTGGCTAATTACAGCAGAAAAGCAATTTATTCAATTTGGGCAACTCCCAGAGTCTTTAAGAGGGCCAATATCTGCTTTAAAGGCCATATTACCAGGAATAAAGCCTCCAAAAGTCATACTGCTGGATGGTCCAGGAAAGAGCCTATTGCTACGGTCACCTCCACTACTGGGAAGACGAACCACACGCAGCTGGCATGGCTGACCCCACCAAGACTGGACAGAAGCCACTGCTAGCATTGCTACCACCCCTGCCCATCACAAAATTAACTCTTTGCTGCCCTTTCTTCTTGAATCTCAAGTCAAAGTTTAAGATGGGTGCTTATGTTGGTGGAGCCTAGGTCAAGTGCCCACAACTCTAGCTACAATGAAAATAAGGCAGAATGTGGGTGGAGAGAAGGCTGAGGTAGATTAGGGTCAAATTATGCGGAAGCTGTCCTTTTGGTTGACACGTGAAACACATAGCACTAGGGGCTGAAGCACAGATACCAAAATGTAAAACTATTAAATGAGAGTGTATTAGAAAACTGTATCTAGTACAAGCCTGAGATTTCACCGTTTATTATAGGGTCAGGCTACATTTTAAACATATGAGGATTTAAGTCCAATTTAAAGAAAAACACCAAAATGAAAAATATGGCAAATTAGCAAAGATAGTATATGAATGACAAGACTGAGAAGCATGGATGCATGTAAAACTAAGCCAAGGAGAAACAGTCTTAGCTCACTCTGGTGGCAGCAAAGAATGTGAACCAAGGAAGGCAAGAATGGGACAAAAGATATCATTGGAAAGTTATAGTCAGGTGTCAGGAGGACACAAGTACAGCAGTACCATTATGCTGAAGGACTTTAATCATTTAGGAGGAAAAAAAAACAAACAAGACTTTGTGATCAACATGTAAAGCACAAAACGGAAGAAGCAAAAGATTGTGATGGTCTTAGAGTTGGACTTGAGTAAACTGGATAACGAGTGATAGCGTGAAACAGACAGTGGAAAGACAGCAGGAGAAGTGGATTTGAGGGAGAAGATAATGAATTTTGTTTTAAACAAGTTGAGTTTGAGACACCTGTGAGAGGGCGGGGAGGCTTAGAACAAAATTGGAGGAACACTGGAGTCAATATTTGAGGGTTGGGAAGGAGGGGAGGATCCCACAGAGGAGTCCAGGAGTCAATGGAGAGAAGAGACTCAAAAGGGAATAGTGTCTGCTAACAGAGTATTTCCAGAATACAGTGGTCAGTTGTACAATAGAGAGGTCCAGCAAAATAAAGGCTGACAAATCCGTGGGCTTGCTCAAGGTAGTTTCAGTGGAACAGCAGGGTGGAAGCCAGGCTCAAGTAGCAGTATTATACAACTAGACCCATGAATGCGGATTTTCTCTACCAACCACTGAAAGCAAATACACGCCCCTGAACTCACATACCAATCTGTACCAAATGAACAGCTCTCATACTTCAGATCTTCACGTGAAGCAGCTACCTCGGGCCCTCTCTCGTTCTTCCTGAAGCAGACCAGATTCTTGGGTCTCAACCAAAGAGATTTCTGTTCTATCTGATAGAGCACCAAATGGAACAGGAAGAACAAAGGTCTCTAGCCTAGTTGAGGGTAATCAGAGTAGCTCCCACATGGCTTCCTGAATAAACTCCGGGACTCTTGGCTTGGTCACAGTGGCAGTTAATTTAGATGGTTGTTTCAGTGGCTGGAACCTCCTTTCAGTACCACAGCTGAGTCAAATTACCTAATTACAATGATAAAGGCCGAAAACTGTTCATCTCAGTTTACAGCTATCTTCCCCCCACAGAACACTCCTTTAACCTCTGAAGAAAGAAGGGGCAAATTACCATGGCTGTCAGAGCTAACCAGAATCAGGAGCAGAGGTACCGCATCTGAGCCTTGCCAGAGCAATTGCCTCTTCATCTCTCTCAGGCTCTCCTTATATACTAAAATAAGTGGTTACCTGACAGAGGAACCATTATTGGTGTCCTTACCAAATCCAGGAAAAGGGAAAACCAAAAGCAGACACTAAGTCAAATACATTCATTTAAGAAAACAGGAAGTTTAACCAATGCTATGACAACACCAGCAGCCTGTGACAGCAGACTTGAAAGCAAGGAACAAAGGGATTTGTGAATGTTACCTTTCCATGAGTCTTCTGTCCCCTCAAATTTGACCCATGCTGCTTCTTCGAAAGTACTACTTTAGTACTGTTTCACAATATAGCTGGAAACTTCTCATGGTACCTTTCTCCAACATATTTTTGGAGATTAGCCAAAACCACATGATGGAAATCTGCTGAGTGCCACAATCATATTAATATGCAATGAGATTCTATTTTGGGCTGCTGTTGATACTGGCCTTCCAGTCTGCTACAGGGTAAGGATATAAATTGTAAAACTGAAAATATCTGAAAAAATTAAAGGGAAGACCAAATAAACCGAAGCTTCACCATCACTGTAGGTTGAGCGTTTACAGAGGAGTTATTTGAGGGAGTAGTACTTGAGGGAGAATGGCCTTTCCCAGGTTGGAGTGGGAAAATTCCATGAGCTAGGACAGGAAAGGTCTACAAAGCATGAGTAAGGGAAGTTGCTATAAATGTGCCCTTCCCCCGTCAATCAGCAGCCTCAGCTGAATATTATAAATGTGTCCTGTGTCAGAGGCTGAAATGGATTCATCAGTCTCTTAAGGTAGAACTGAGCACTGAGCAGGCAATTCGAGCAAGGCCGGGCCCAGTTCATCAGATGGGCTGCAGAGGTTTATCCAGTATTAAAAACCAGCGATCACCAGAAATTGTTGTCTTTAGTGTAAAACGATGCCTTTAAAAAGGGTTTTGGGGCACCTGGGTAGCTCAGTCATTTGAGCGTCTGACTCTTGATTTCGGCTCAGGTCACAATCCCAGGGTCCCAGGATACAGCCCCACACACATCAGGCTCTGTGCTGACAGCATGGAGCCTGCCTGGCATTCTCTCACTCTCCCTCTCTCTGTCCCTCTCCCACTCACTCTCTCTCTCTCTCAAAATAAATAAACTTAAAAAGGGATTTAAAGGGACAGTATCCTCATTTATAAACAGGAATAGAAACTTCTTTATGACATTAAAACTAAATCTCAATTTATCTTTAATCTTCACTGATGAACCTGGAGAGTTATTAAAATGATCAAGAAAGAGGGGCACCTGAGTGGCTCAGTTGGTTGAGCATCTGACTCTTGGTTTCAGCTCAGGTCACGATCTCACGATCTCAGGTCATGAGTTCAAGCCCCATGTCAGGCTCTGTGCTGACAGAATGGAGTCTGCTTGGGATTCTCCCTCCCTCCCTCTCTCTCTGCCCCTTCCTGGAGGGCACGCATATATGCTCACTAGCACTTTCTCTCATTCTCTCAAAATAAATAAACTTTTTAAAAAAAATCGGGGCGCCTGGGTGGCTCAGTCGGTTAAGCATCCGACTTCGGCTCAGGTCATGATCTCGCGGTCCGTGAGTTCGAGCCCCGCGTCAGGCTCTGTGCTGACAGCTCAGAGCCTGGAACCTGTTTCAGACTCAGTGTCTCCCTCTCTCTCTGCCCCTCCCCCATTCATGCTCTGTCTCTCCCTGTCTCAAAAATAAATAAATGTTAAAAAAATGATTAAGAGACCCTATTGAAGGAACTTTAATTATTTAACAGAGAAGAGTTTTGAGTATTCAACCAAAGACTCCATATCTAGACGTAGCCAGAGGTATATGAAGTACACCTCAACTCAAGGTGATTTTGGTGACTTCATTATTCCTCTGTTTTAGGAGATGATCCACCCTAATGAACTCAATGATCAGCAGAGGAGATTTCAAAGCAAGAGTAGGGAAAGGAGTTGTAGTTCACCTAGATTCCACATGATTATCTTCAGGACCTACAGCTCCCTGTTGCCATGCGTTTTGCATTTACAGCTTCAGAAAAGATCTGTGAATGGTCCTAATGTGAATGGAGGAAATGACCTTAAAAAGCAGCTAGAAACGTCCAGGTAAAATAAAAGAACGTTCCTCCCATTCAAGTTGGAATTTGGTGCCTTCTTACCAAAAGAAGTGTTCTCTTACTATATAAATAGCATTTATCTGTGGGTCAGCTTCAATAAGTTTAGAGTACTATCCTAATCACACAACTGCAACTTTACTGCGGATTACCTGGGCACTTGTGAAAATGCACATGTCTGGATCCCACCAGAGCCAATAAACCAGACTATTCCATGGAGGAGCCTAGGACCCTGTATTTTTTTTTTTTTAATTTTTTTTTCAACGTTTATTTATTTTTGGGACAGAGAGAGACAGAGCATGAACGGGGGAGGGGCAGAGAGAGAGGGAGACACAGAATCGGAAACAGGCTCCAGGCTCTGAGCCATCAGCCCAGAGCCCGACGCGGGGCTCGAACTCACGGACCGCGAGATCGTGACCTGGCTGAAGTCGGACGCTTAACCGACTGCGCCACCCAGGCGCCCCAGGACCCTGTATTTTTAACAAGTAACCCAATCTGTTTCTCTCTCACTCAAAAATAAAAACAAACAACAAAACAAGTAACCCAAGTGATTTTCATAATCAGGGAAAAGTTTGAGAAATACTGATCTAAGGCTCTGCTTACAGTAATATAAGGCTATTCATCCTGGGGAGGAAACAAATGACATGGAGAAAGGAAACTGGCTAGACTGATGAATCAGAAGCGCCTCATGACAGAGTTAAGAGAACTAAAATTTGAGGGGGAAAAGCTGAGCGGTTAAAGCTGGAGCAAGCATTCTTAGCACTGCTCGGTAGCCACTAAGCTTGCTCCAGGTCCTGCGTCACTCCACCTCCTT